GTGCGCACAGGCTGTGGTCCATCATGTTGTTGTTGTGGACTGAAGTGGACCTGACTGTCACAGCATCTGTAGGTTCTTTGTTTTATACTCTCTTATGTAGCCAACAAAACACACATCTTGTACACACACTACAGTAAAACACACAGTAATTAATAAGAACGGGAAGAGTTTGTAAACTGTGGCCAGTCTACAACAAGATGGCAGAACACATTGCTGCATGCACAGATTATTTTGTGAGCACAAAACCTCACTTCATTATTAACCTGGTTTTCTGAAAAATTATTACTGATCAAAGGAGCTGCTGAACATCGAATTCCCTCCTGCTTCTTCAACACTGATCGCTACACCCAGAAAAATAAGAGAACCGTGTAAAAAGCAGTTTTACTTGCAATAATAATAATAATAATAATAATAATAATAATAATAATAATGATAATAATAGCCATGAAGCCTAAGCAGAATAAGTGAAGCATGTGTAGTGTCAGATGTCAGCTTCATTGTTCCGTGTGCTCATCAGCACAATAGTGGAAAACTGGTTGAAAAACACAGGATTGGTTTCAGTTGCGTATCCCACACAGTTAAGTGAGGAGTTGAGTTTTAACATGTAATAATATGAGATAAAGTGTGTGTAAGTACAGGAAATAAAGTTTATTTGAAGTCATGTCAGGATCTTAACGTGAATAAAAGCATCTTTTCATTTCTGAAAGGAGCTTCGTTTAACTACGAGACCACCAGCATATCCTGGGTGGTTACGGTAACTTGATTAATAAAATGATCAACTTGGCACAAATCATTATGAATAATTGTATTTATTGTGTAAGAATGTTCCTTTTAGTAGGTTTGGGTTATCTTTAATTTGAAGTAAATTCACGATTTAATATATTTGGCTTTGAATTTAAATTTTTGGGGGGATAATTTTTACTTTGGATTTTTGTCTATTTAATTTTAAGTTTAATTTCAGAGAAAAGTATTTAAGGTTTAATATAATTCGTTGCCACTAAATTATCATGGTTTCTGGCACTTTTCCCCCTTTAGCAGACATTGTTTAAAGTTACAATAAATTCAGTGGATATATATAGTAGATTTCTGAAATTTATGATGATGGAAAAGTGCCAGGAAAATCAACCAAAGACTAATTTAAAATCATTAATCATTTGATGTGAACAAACCAACATGCTGACTTTAAGAGCTGTATTCATTAAACAGTCATGCTGACAATAAACATGTGACTGTGTCCTCTTTTTCATGTCTTTATGTATTTAACTGAGCTGTTTTTGAAAGACATTATGACACAACATCAATACCTGAGGATCAATACTGTGCTGACATCAATATTAAAATGCTGTCATTTATGACCATGAAGATAAAGTCAATAAGTTCTTCACTAATGCACTAACTGAAATTACAGATTACGCAGAGAACAAAGAGATGTCTGATATGTCACAGCAAGTCAGAGAGTAAATAAAGTATCTGTTATCTGGAAAATAGTTTTTTTTTTAAATTGAATTGTGATTTAATAATAATAATGATAATAACAGTAATATCTTGGCATGAGTAGGATGGATTAGGCTTCGAGGACTACAGACTGGAATGTACAATGGGACCCACATAGGGAGTACAGTTTAAATGTATCAAATTCTGTGAACATACCATCTTACCAACCATGGCTGTAAGACCATTTAAAACAATAAAAAAAAAACAAAAAAAACTATAATTTAAGATATTATTATTATTATTATTATTATTATTATTATTATTATTATTTTAAGAAGAAAACCTGAATTTCTGAGGATGGGGACAAACTGAGGAGAGCATAGTACGACCTAAGGGTGAAACTGAGGACTCCTGCAAGAGGAAGCTGAACAGTATGAGCAGAACAGTGTGAGGGATGTGTGGAGTGAAATGAAGAAAATCACTGGTTTTAAGGTGACGGACAATAACTGGCACCAGCAATCGGCAAGGAAATCTGAAGGGAGCAGAAAAGCTGAACAATTTTTAAAACACTTTTGGTTCACAGCCCTCTGCTGCTTTTCCCCACAACACACTCTACACACTATGGCCCTTACACACATTCATTGCCTTCAGGGGTATTAAAAAAATTAGGCTA